TATATATATATATATATATACTTCTCATCAAACCAAAGTTAATTCATTCTTTGCATCCTGGAGGCTCAATATTTCGAACATGTTGAAATCATTATTGTCATAAAATATGTGTATTTTGCATTTAATATCTATAATATGTTTAAGTGTGGTTATGTATGGTCAACATATTCGAAATAAATTTGTTTGATTGATTGACTGAATATAGTTTGTTTTACTACTAGCCAGAATGAGAAAAAAAAAGCCAGAATACAATTAGAGTAACAACTTTCTACTCCTTAAATGTTTGGAGTAGAAAGTAAAAAGCCAGCTGAAAATGTATTACTCAAGTCAAATATGCTGTAGATAATCAATATTTCTACTCAAGTAAAGTAAGAAAGTCTTTGTATTTTGTTACATTACACCTTTGGATTTAAAGTTTTCTTTCTCTGCAAAAGAGTTTCCTATAAACTGCTGTATTTAAATGACAGTGAAAGGAAGCATGTCATTAAAGGTGTTGAAGTGAGGCTGGTAATTTAAATGAACTTCTGCAGCAGAGGTGAGTCCTGTGAACAGACCCTACTGACTGTTTGTTTCATCTTCAGAAGATGAACTTAGAAAGCTGATTAATGAGAGTAGTCAAAGCTGTCATCTTAGAAAAAGCCTTTCTTTTTTAATAAGATGTCCAAATCTTTATTTGAGTCCAAAACAAGAAAACGTGCAACTCTGTCCAAACTTCAGATAAGAGCACTCGTTAGCTGTGGCGTTTGAAAAGAAACCCAACTAATATCTCTACTGCTAATATCTCTGCATACAGCTTTTGTTTGTTTCACATCTGATGCATCTGGATTGTGTTAACCAGGCAGGAAGCTGCTGTTCCTCCTTCTAACAGCAGATGGCAGTATTTGCACAGCAGCCAATGAGGGCATCATAATTAGGCCTGTGTAGTGACCCAGAAGGTGGTGGTGGTGGAGCTGCAGAGAGTATTTCTGATCAGCTCGACCTCATCTTACACATACTGAAAATATCCATCATGGCAGGCTAATGTTTCTTTGCAATAGCTCCAATAATTTGTCTGAGGTAAAAGCTTTCTGGTGTTCTCGACCCATTCTCTGCCTGCAATCAGGCCGTTCTTTCTATTTCTGCCGGCACACTGAGTTATTAATGTTGTAGAGATTTGATTGATTGATTCGATTTTTTTTTCCAATTTTGTTTTTTAAGATTTTATCAAATTCGGTGCTGTTTGTGAGATTGCTGTAAAGCAGTTTAGTCCTTGCTAAAATGAAATGTGAGTGGGTGAGGGTTAAAACAAACATTACTGATCAATGGAGAATTTGTGTTAGTTGTATTTTTGGCTGAAAATACATTACAAATACTTTGAAAAAACATTGCTGTTGTTTTAAGACCAGTTGTGCAACTTGACATGAAATTTTAACAACAACAACAACTGCTTTTATCCCTGTGGGAAGTCTCATGTATGTGTTTTAAATCAGTTTGTAAAACATCCAGTAGAATATGTGTATTTATGCCGTATATATGCATAAACTCATCAGTGGCTCCTGCAGAGCTTTGTCAAATCTCAGAAAAGGATCCCTGATGATCCCATTCAGGATGGTTTAACTGTAAGATGGGAGTGAGCTGCATCATGGGAAGTGTAGGACTAAAAGCCTGCAGCGCTCGGTTTATTTTTTGATTTTGATCCTTGCCAAACCTTTCTGTCACTGCCCCCAACTTTATGGAAGCACAATACCAAATCTCAATAACACTTCAAAGGACCAAAGATTTCACTTTTGGCTCCACAGTCAGCAGGTGGGATACCTTCATGTTGGGAAACCTGCACAATGCAAGTCCTAAACCAGGCTCTGTGATAGTACTGGGTTGTAGTTTTTGTGCCTTTAGTATTTTTTTTTACTTCTTACTTCCAGGGATGTTCAATATTTTTGCATTACAAACACACTGCTGCCTAATTTTACTTCAACCCCTTGGGTAAACTTAAGGAATAAAAGCATTGATGATGTAATTTGTAGGGATTTGACTAAACAAAAAACACTGTGGGTCATAAGGTTTTATAAAGGCCTCTTTATTCAGGTACATTCTATGAAATAGGATTGGGGCCACAGAGCAATATTTCATTCCTGAGTTCTGACTTTAATCTCAGAATTCTGACATATTTTTTTTCAAATCCTGATAATTCAGAATGGGGA